TAGGTCTGTCATTTCTGTATATAGTATAGTTTTGTATGTTGTAAATTGTATGTGGTCTAAGCATAGTCTCCTGGACTAATGCTATGTCAACATTATCCTCATGTAAACTCATATCTTTTGGGAAAGATAGAGTTTGCATTCCAAGAGATTATGTAAAGTCGTGTCGGTCTAGGTGTATCACCCTTTATCTAGTTTAGTTGTGTTAAAAGTTTGAGGCTAGGATGATTATTAGTCTGTTCAGTTTATTTGAAATCTCTTGCTCTGAAAGAGTCAAGAGACTCAAAATGGGGTTGTTAGTCAAGTTTAGTTGTTGTTGAGGTGGTTTACTATTTGTACTGTTATTGATATTGTCTGTATTCAATTTAATTTTTTGAGCGTAGCTCACAGATGGGGTTGTAGTTTTGAATAAAGCTGCTGTGTCCCTTGGGGGAAAAGTGCTTTGATCTGGTGTTGGTTTGGGGGTGGAAGGGACATTTCTGTTTGGACACTTCGGACAATTTCTATAATTGGCCGGATGTGCACCTCCGCAATTGACGCATGTAGGGGGAGAGTTTATGTCTTTGGTACATTTAGTGTAGAAATGATTACCAGCACACCGATGACATTTGGGCTTTGCATAGCAATTAGACAAAGTATGCCCAAAATGCTGACAATTGTGGCATTGTGGAACATACTTTTCATCCTTACTATGCTGGGCCTCAATGGTCACCGGCATGTAGCTAATCCTCTTGATGTAAAATCTGTCAGCTTCATCTGGGAAGACCAGGAGTTTTATCAAAGAAGAGCCTTTGAGGCCGCGACTTTGAGAAGGCTTGAATCTTTGGATCTCTTTAGGAGAAAAACCCAAAGATTCAAGCTCCTCCTGGACTTCACCAAGATCTTGATTTCTGTCAAGTCCCTTGATCACCACATTTATCATTTTTTCGTCTGGAAGAAAATAAGAGTGGAATTCAATTTTTTGTTCTTTAAGAAATTTAGTGATGCCACGATGGTCATCAGGAGAGTCAGGAGTGATGGAAATGCCCAATCGGTCTTTTTTAGGGTCAGTAAAAAATAGTTTCATGTCCGTAAGTTTTGTTAAAAGTTGTTTAGGTCTCAAAATATTCCTTAAAATAATTGGAACGGTTTTTTTAGGGGGATTGCTTTTTGTGGAAATGGTTTCTGTACTCTGTGAGGTATCGTCATGTTTGTTCTTTAGATAAGTCATTAATTTTTTGTTAGTATTGTGAGGAAAGTTGAGCGAAGCAGTATGTTCTGGTTTTTTAAGTGGAGGAAATCAACATCAGAGACGTCCATTTTCTCCTGGGAAATGACATCTTCATCATCAGATACGGGGCGGTCAATTTGAATGTCCATGTCATGGTCTGTACCTATCTGATGGAGTCGGTACGTCCTTGTCAATTTTACATGATTTATTTTTATTAGTTTTTGTCGTTTTCGTCTTTGATAAATTATTACTCCTAACTTCCATTAGAATTGTATCTAATGAGGCTTGTAAAGTCTGTAATTGTTCTTTTAGCATTTTATTCTCTTTTTCTAAGAGCTCATACCTCTTTTCTAGTGACTGAAATGTTGATAAAGGAACTAGGGTATTTTGTGTGCTTTGTGATGTCGCAGCTTTCAACTCACCCTTCTGCATTTCATTTTCGGTTTCAGGGTATTGGGAATTGGAATCAGGATTTTTTTCAGGACCAGGATCAGAAATAGGGGTTTTCGGCATCTTGCAAATAACGCAGGAAGCCAGCTTTTTCTTCCGCAACATAAGGTTATTTTTCTTGGCTGAAGACTTGTGATAAAATATATCTGGGCGATTTGGCATGAAAATTGCAGGGCTTTAGCACAGAGCAAAATTACAACACAGTGACAAATTTTTTGTCACTTTGTCGTGCAATATTCACTATATCTAAATCGTATAACAGCCAAACTTAAACTTAAAAACTACAAGCTAATACCGGCCTTTATATATCCCTAATCTATTCTTGCAAAAAACGGGATTGACCTCGTTCCCGAACATCAACGCAAAATCTCGAATCAGCTGTCCAATTCTGTACAGTTTTGGAGGGATTCTCGACATCCTGGCGGATGCATTATACTGGTGGATGCGTTACCATTACATTGCCCTCTTCTTACGGTCGATCGTTCCGATCAACTTCACGGCCATGATATTTCGTCAATCTGTCTAGATGTACAATTTTTATTTTACTTATTACGCTGAACTCGATAAACCAAATCATTTATTCTCTTGATTATTCTGTAGGGTCCTTCCCATTCTGAAGAAAACGGCGACACTCCTTTGTTTCTTGCTGAATTATACAGCCACACTAAATCACCTTCTTGAAATCCGGCCAAATTGGCTTTCAAGTCGTATCTGGTTTTCATTCAGTCACTGACCAGCTGAATATGTTTTCGAGCAAAATCATGGATCCCCAGAAGTCGTGCCCTTACTTCGTCGGCATAGTCTCGAATTTCTTTTCATTTTCCTTCAGCTATTCCAAACATCAGATCGCAAGGTAGGTAATCTGACTTCCCTTTCAAAAACTATTCTAGCTGGACTTTCACCTGTTGACTCGTGAACGATGTGAACAGCTGCTCTGTAAGCCATTAAAAATAGAGGCAAGTGTTTGTCCCAATCTCGCTGGTTCTTTGCGACCACTTTTGTCAGGTGTTCCTCTATCGTCTTATTAAATCGTTCTATCATGCCATCAGACTGTGGATGTAAAGGTATTATCTTTGTCTTATGAATGCCCATAATCTCAGAAATCTTCTTGAAGATGGCAGATTCGAAGGTTCGTCCCTGATCTGAATGCAACTCTAGTGGCACACCATGACGAGTTGACGACTGAAAACTTCGTCCACTAGTACCTGGACAATAGTGATGGCTTCTTGATTGGGAATAGCGAAAACTTCTGACTATTTACCGAGTAACAGTGGCGTAGCCAGTAGGGGGGCAGGGGAGGCGACGGCCCCCCCGCCCTTACACGTATGGCGCCCCTACCGCTCTTAAAAAACAAAAGCAAAAAGTAGGAAATTATAAAATTATGCTGTTTCTTATTTATTTTATTGACCTCTTCACCCTTTATTCTTTATCGTAAGTCGGCATTGTCGGCAAATGGTTAATGGTTCAGCTCAATCAAAGGAAAGCAGGGCCGAATTTAAGGGGGGAGCAGGCTGGGCAGCTGCCCGGGGTCCCCACAAAATAAGGGCCACCACATTCTAGAAAAGGGCCAGGACTTTGATCACACATCTTATTATTAAGTTCCCTATGCCTATTTTCCACAGTTTACTCTGATTTTGTACAAATAACTGTTTTTTAGTTTATATTTTGTATAATTTTTAAATATGTACACATTATTTATAAAAGTAGGTATAGTAAAACTTTCCGTTTTTTTTTTTTCTGAATGGTAAGAGGCGGGAACCCCACATGAGTTCTGCCCAGGGACCTCCACAGTCCTAAATCCGGCCCTGAAGGAAAGGTGATTGTTTCTGTTTTGATGATTGATGTGGTTTTTGTTTATTAAACTATGGGTTGATGGGGTGGGTGGGGCTGTCATCCGTCCAGATTTCCCTGGATTTGTTCTAGTTTTCAAGACGTCCGGGAGGATTTTTTGAAGTTAACGGCTTGTCCATACATTATTTCTTGTAAGGCTTAAAGTACATAAATGTTTTTCGGCGTGGCACCGTCGCACCCGAAAAAAAAATGTTTCAAAAGACTATAAAATAAACTCTTTGGGCGTGGCACCCGAGGAAATTTTTCGCCTCCGGCGGATCCCGCGTCGGGGTTCTCGTCTTGAATATTTTTCCCCAAAAAGCAAATATTACAAAAGCATACAAATATTCATTTGTTATCCCCTCCCACCCTTCCCCAGGGCCGTAGCTAGAGTCAAATTTGTGATAGGGCAAGACAAATTTGACATAGGGCATATACTACTTCCCCCCCTAAATTATAGGTAAATAAACTGGGGGTAATGGCGCCGAAGACAAATTTTTCAATAAAGAACAAACACATGGCAAGTAAACAAAATGGCGCTGATTAACGCGCCGCCTTGGACCATTCGCACCAAGGATAATACACACTAATAGTGAAATCCATTGCTAAGTTCAGTGCGCACTGAGAGTGTTCCTGTCCTCTTTTACTAGCATGTAAAAAAAAGTGACAGAAATACATGCTTTTTGCACTAATTTTACCAATGGTTTTTGTCATAAGTACTACCCAGATAACACCCAACATCCGATGGATATCCATTTTAGGTACAAAATATGTACAGATGTCCAGGGACATTAAATGGACATCCAATGGACTATATTTTTTGGACAATAACTGATAACAGCCAGAAACGGATATCCAATGGAAATCCATTAAGTGTCCACAAATGTTTCTAAAAATCGTGGTCATAAACTGGACATCTAATGGACTATATTTTCTGGACAAAAACTGAACCACAAGAAACGGATATCCTCTGGAAATCCATTTATCGTCCACAAATGTATATAAAAATCATGGTCACAAACTGGACATCCATTGGACTATATTTTTTAGACATTAAATGGACAGAAAGGAACGGATATCCATTGGAATTCCATTTAATGTCCACAAATGTAAATAAATATCATGGTCTTGAAATGGACATCCAGTGGACTTTTTTTTTGGACAATTACTGAACTGCCAGGAATGGATATCCATTGGAAATCCATTCAGTGTCCATAAATGAACCTATAAATCGAAATAATTTTGTGATGCATGCATGGCATAAACTCCTGGGATGTCCAATGACTTTCTAGTGGATAACTATTTAGTGAAGTACTTATATACAATCAAAAATGAATTTTCAAATATTTAATTTATTAATAAGTTGTGGTAGGTAGGTATTAGTGGTCCATTTGTGAAATTCTGTCTAAGAAATTAGTCGATAGTACAGTGGTACAGTCGATAGGAGCGCTACGGAGTCACCCAATTAAAAGGGATAGAAGTTAACGTGACCGAGCGCCAGCCAATCAGGGCGCGGCATCTTGCGTTTCGCCATCTGCGCGGCCAGCCAGCACTCCAGCAGCAGCCATTACTCCTTCATGCTGCTGCCTGCTTGAACGATACACTCTACCGCTGTATTCGTACGCAACAACGGAATTATTCTACTTTAAAAATTGCCAAAAAACAGGTAGTTGTTCGTTTCCGCCTTTCAGAAAATCAGAATTATCGTTTGAAGAACGTTCCTCTAGTAATTAATCTGTAGGTGTAGTGTTGTAGTACATAGTCACCGCACACAACACAACGCCACCATTTCCATTGAAACCAGTGACCCCGGGGAGCAGGACGCTATCGTTTTATTTATTTTTTTCGCAAAAGTTTTGTCGTGTTGCAGTGTTGGATGTTGTTGGATCAATCACCCATCAGGTAAGAAATTAATAGATATACCTACCTAATTATTTCTGCTTATCACAAAATTAGAAAGAAATCGTAAAATCTAACCATAATGTGTCAATAAATTTTGAAACCCAGTCAATATGGCGTCAATAAATTATTATCAAAACATGAAAATATTTTTGGTTCATTATTTATGATTTATGATTTTTTGCTATGAATATTTCATCTAAAAAAAAAGGCAAATTTTTTTGGTCGTAGCCCGTTTTATAATTTACTTATTTGCTAGATGAAGAGTAGGTATATTTATAGATGAGACCTAAGTTATACCTTGATACAACCTCAAATATCAATCTAATAGTTTTTTTGAAAAAAAAAAAATTACAGTCGAGCTGTCTATAGATTTGGGTACTGTTCTAACTTTTATTTTGGTGAATACATAATTAGTGAGAAAATTAAAATTATTCATAGGTACTACCTATTTTCTGATATAGATCTTTTTTGTTTTTAGGTTGGAAAACACTGTTATTTGATGAGATTATAGATTTATAGATAGCAGTGAAACAGTATTTAGATGATTACTTGACTTTTCAACTCACTTTTCAAATAAAATGCCTAAACTTTCCAGATCAAAATATAGAAAAGCAAAATTGCATAGTGATATGAGTTTGGAAAATATATGTGGAACTAATAATAATCAAGAAAATAATGTTTCTTCTGATGTTTACTTAAGTAATAATTTCCAAGCTGACAATAATGCTCGCAATAATGTGAATATACACGCCACACCACTCATGGTAGCTTCTGAGAATTTCAATAATGACTTAACGTTAGCAGATCCCGGGGCAGATCCTCCTGATCTTGATGGCAATAAAGAATTAGATATCAATATTTCCCTTTCACCCCCAGTTTCACCCTCACCTTTTTCAGATTTAGAAGATTCAATTTCCAATGTTGTCCAAAATTTAGGAGTCAGTGACAATATTACAAAAAAAAAAGATATCACTTCGGAATTAACAGAGTGGGCTTTAAAATTCAACATATCTCATATTGCATTGTCTGATTTATTAAAACGATTGAAACCAACTTTTAATGAATTGCCCCTTGATGCCAGAAGTTTACTACATACACCTAGAAATTTGGAATATAAAATTGTTTTTCCTGGACAATATTTCCATTTCGGCCTAGAAAAATGTATTAAGAACCTATTTTGTTGTATTAAAAACAAGCCTATAGACAAAATTGAGATTTATGTTAATATTGATGGACTTCCACTATCAAAAAGTTCTGGATCTCAGTTTTATCCAATACTTTGCTCACTAGTGCAAAATAGAAATGTAGTTGACATAATAGGTATTTACCATGGAAATGAAAAACCCAAAAATGTGAACGAATTTCTTAAAGACTTTGTGGAGGAAGTGAATAAATTTTCAGAACAGGGTATTATAATTAATGATCAGAAGTATCAGTTTACAATTAAAGCATTCATTGTAGATGTACCGGCAAAGGCCTTTATCACTTCTACTAAGGGGCATAATGGATACTACTCATGCTCTAAGTGTGAGATTGAAGGGGTATTTATACAAAATAGAGTTTGCTTTCCAAATGTTAATAACTTGGTTTTAAGAAATAACTATAAATTTAGACAGAAAACTCAAGAAGAACATCACTTGGGGGCTAGTATTTTGGAAAAAATACCTAGTTTAAATATGATAGATGATTTTGTTTTAGATCCTATGCATTTAGTTTACTTGGGTGTAGTTAAAAAACTCATAGTTACACTTTGGTGCAATGGCGCTCCTTCAATTAAGCTATCTTTCCGTGAAATTTCAAACATTTCAAAAAAATTATGTGATTTAAAATATTGCATTCCGGCTGAATTTAATAGAAAGCCACGGTCTATGATGGAATGTAAGAGATGGAAAGCCACAGAGTTTTACCAATTTTTAATTTACACTGGCCCCCTCGTTTTAAAAGATATTTTGACAAAAGATAAATATTTAAATTTCTTGTCTCTCCATGTATCAATATACATCCTTTCCAGTCCAAGTGCTTCCACAGAATTAACAAACTATGCAAGTGAATTACTGGAATATTTTGTCCATACTTTTAGTCTTCTTTATGGCCAAGAACACTGTTCCCATAACATTCATAATCTTCTGCACCTCCATGCAGATTTTACTAAATTCGGTCCATTATTTAATTTTTCAGCATTTCCTTTTGAAAATTTCATGCAAATCATTTTAAAATTAGTACGTAAACAAGATAAACCTTTAGCCCAAATTGTATTTCGTAAATCTGAACTCAATGATTTTCTCTATAAACAAGAATCATCTGTTGATGAACCTACTTTCAAATCACGACATTTTAATGGACCTCTTATCGATATTGACGAAGAATATGAGCAGTTTCAAAAAGTGCATTGTCAAAATTTCTTGTTAACTGTGGAATCACCTGATCATTGCTGTTCATTAAAAAATGGAAATTTAATATTAATAAGAAACATTTTAATAAAAAAGGGTTTGCCATATATAATTGGACATAGATTTCTAAATGTTTCTGATTTTTTTACTGAACCTATAAAATCATCTTTACTTGGCATTTATTTAGTAAGAAATTTGGACAAACTCCAACAGTGGCCACTTTCCGAAATAACTTCAAAATGTTTGAAATTACCATTCAAGGATGATGTTTTTCTAGTGCTTCCACTCTTACATCTAAATTAACATTTTGGGATAGCTGGTAGTTTTATGTCCTAGGAAGTGATTTGCTTTAATATCATTTATTTTATTTATTCATTGGTACACTTTACAATGAACATCACAGCTAACATGAATGTGTGTATTTTTTCAAGTCTCGTTTAACCTAGGTACAAAAATAACTGAACTTTATTTCTTGATAATGTCTCATATTTTTCAAAACTCATTCTCTATCAAAAAAAAATTATAAAATATTTTCTATAAGTAAATTAAAATATTTAAAAATGGTCAATTATCATTCTAAGTATATGTAGGTATACCAGCTATTGTCTGCTAATTCAAAAGGTAACTATATATATAACTGCATTCCTACTATTTGTAATAATAATTAATTTATGTTACAGCTAGTTTATTTGAAGTTGTACATTTGGTATAATTTTTCAAATTACTGAAATTCCGTTGCTCATCGAAAAAAAAGGATGGATAAGACGTGGAGTGTAGTGCAGTTTGAGGAGGAAAATGCAGTGGAAGCAGTGCCCTCCTCATGGATTTATAATAACAAATGCTATTGGCCGCCATTTAATAAGGAAAAACTACTAAAATTTATTAAAAATAATGAGGAGCCAAACACTTGCTGGCCACTGCACCCTGTGAAAATATTTCGTAATGGAATATATGGTAAGAGTATTAATAGAAGGCGTTGATTATCTTGACGTATTTAAAATACTAATAACTTTTAAAACAGAAGTCCTAGATATCTAAATAGTTCTTTTATTAATTCTGGTTCAATTATTATTCTGTGAGTTGATCATAACTCACAGTAATCTGAAATCCCATAAATCACTTAGTTGCAGTTTCCTTTTATATTTTTGCAGATGATTATCTTACGGCTAGGAAAAAATGTCAGACTGCCGAAATGTTCTCGGACCTCTGTTCAGATACTGGTGATGAAAAATCCTCAAGAAAAAAGAGAACAAAAAAAGTTTTTTCGCCGGAATCCAGCCCCATTTCTACTAGTGAGGACGAAAAGGAAAGAGGCTGTAAGCCCAAAAAAAATTCATTACCACCGGCCCCAATTTTGGTTGGTATGTTGAGAAATTGATTATTATTAAATTTATAACTTCAATAGGTAATAAAACTTGAATTTTTTGAAATTAAAAATAATTAAGGTGAAAATATTTCTCCTGATAAGTGTTTTTGATAAAACCATGAAAATAAAGACACTTCGTAATTACATATTGTAGCACAGGAAAAATATCGTTCTATTTTGTTTTGTTCTAGAAAATCCTGTTCGTCTGGCTAATTCTAATGCAAGAGGTCCACGTTCAGATGCCAATAATATATTATCGCCGAAGGGATCGTCATCGTCTTCGACGTCTTCTCTAGGAAGTATGACATCGAATTTAGGATCAGCACTAGGAAATGGTCGAGTAATTGGTATGTCCAAAACTGCTTGGAGTTTAATATTTTATTAAAAAAATAATTTTAAGACAAAAGTTTATTTTATAATGTATAGTTTATAATTTTGTTTTGAAATCAAACAAGGAGGTTCTGTTCTGGTTAAAATATCGAAAACGTTTAATAGCTAAAAATTAACCTTTTATTAATTTTTTAGAACACCCTCGATGTGACAATACCAATGAAATCAGAGTGGACGTTTCAGCGACAGAATCAGGCTGCTGCAAGATGCATGGTAAGAGAGTTTTTGGGTATTGAATTTTATTTATAATTTTGCAAAGTATTTTTGATCAAAATTTGTTTCTTTTAATTTCAGGAAAGCTTTTGGCAGATCTTGTCCGGAAACAAAACATTTTATTTCAATACATTAAAGAAATTCATGGCTATACAGTTGAAATAATGAAATGGATCAAACACTCAAAAAAATTGATACCAATAATAAACCTTCAGAAATAAATGAAACTTGCAAAATAAGTTTCATTAAAGATTTTAATTTTCCTTTAAGCAACGAAGAAGATTTAACAGGTTTTGAGGAGTATTTATCGAATGATGTTAATTATGCAATTGTTGTAAGTACCTATATATTCCTAACTCAATTTTCTATGGTTTCTGTCTATTTATTTAGATTATAAAAATACAAATTAATGTTAAAAGTCACGTATTCAAACAGACATGATACTGATTTTTTAATTTTTCTTCTATCTATTCAAGGTTAAAGAAGTTGTTAAGATAGGAGGGATCGACATTAACCAATTCGTGAAACGTGGCCTGTCTTTCTGCATCTCAAACCGATTGGCGGAGACCTATACTTACTTTGGAAAAAAAGGGAAAAAAAATTTTTCAGAACTAAAACTATGCAGTGTGTTGTTTGGTAAGTAGTATATCATACAATAGTTTTAAACCATTTTTTAGAATTTAAAAACTGCTGACTGTCTTACTCGATTTTAAAATAAAAGGTACTTAGTTATACAAAAAATAGTAACTATTTTTTGTACTAAGGGCGTAAAATGCAAATTTAATGTCTAGCATTTTAAGCTTTTACGTCTATTTATTAATGCAAGTCGTTGAGGGTATATTATTTGCATTTATCAGTCTAAATAGTTATAGTTATTTTATAATTTATTGTTCCAGATGCTGTTTTCAAAAAGTTTAAGGATTCTTCTAGAAAGGACATTGAAACTAGTATCAAAAATTGGATGCGTAGAGCAAAAGAAAGGAAGTGAACACTTGTCTGCTATCTTCGTTTTTATTTTGGTTTGTTGGGTTCCTTTGAGAGTAAAACTTGTTTTGTTTGACAAAAAACAATATTTTTTTATTGATATTTTAGTAGTTCCTATAAGAATAGTCGTTTTTTTTTATTGTTAAAAAAAAATATATATTTTTTTCGTACTTCCGGGACTAAAGCGACAATTTCACTCCCTCATGACAGGGACTGAAGTGTCACTTTTTGTCCGTCCAGTATTTTCGACCGTATATGATTTATGTTATTTAATAATTTTATGTTAATGTTAATTTGCCAAGAATAACTGTTTTTTTTGTCTAATATAAAAAATAATATTTTTTGAAAGTTTGTTTCTGCGGTTTAGTTTAGGAAAAGGATATTATTAAGCTTTTTCGCAGAATTAAAAATTGAAAAACTATAGTTTCAGTAATAATTTCGATGCACAGCTCACTTAATAATATATTTTTTATTTTTAATTCTGAGAATATACTAAATAATTTTCCTTTTCCTAAATAAACCGCAGAATAATGACACAAACTTATTTTATGTAAATAATGTTTTTAGGTGTAAGTAATAAAATGATCCAATAAAGTTTGTTTAACAGCAATTTTTTTGAAATTTGATTTCCAGCTCATGTCCATAAATGGATGCTTTATGGACAACCATATTATGTCCAGGAGTATTCCATGAATGGCAGAAAAAATGGATGCCGCTAGAACATCCATAAAGTATCCAAAATATTCCATAAATGGCCTAAAAACTGCTGGACATGGTCATCCATAGGATGTCCAAAAGTAGTCCAGTGGATGCCTCGTGGACATCCATAAATGGATATTTAAGCGGTACCCCATGGCTATGATCTGGACATCCAGGAATGATCCAGAGCTGTGCCAACTGGATAGCCAGAGGATGTCCATGAGACATCCACTGAACTTAATCTGGATGTCCATCGGACTTCCTAGTATTTTTGCTTGGCCGTCCAGTGGACAACCAATGGATGTCTTATGGATCCCTCTGTGTTATCTGGGTACTGTAGGATAGCTTATCCTCATAAGGCCTGTGTAGATCAAATCTCAAACCCCCCACCACGCCAAAGAACCAGTGATGACGTAGCCAGCGTGTCGTTTTTCTCTTGACGTAGGGTGTTTGCACCACAGGTTACGATTCCGCGGGCTTTTGCTTTATGCATACCTATTTGGTTTTAGTACATTAATTAACATTCTAAAACAACGCTTTTTTAGATCTTCTTCTTTGCCTATTATGTTAATCAAAATTAAATGACATTTTTCATCCAAAATGTATATTCTAAACTACGACTGCTGGCGTAAACAGCTGACGACGTAATTGATGATGTCAATGGTGCTACACCATATGGCCGGGATTTCCACAAACGAGGCCGATAAGCAATGCTGTGTAGTAGTGTTTATTATCGTATTATCGTTGCATTCGTACTCTTTTGAAACCAAAAACTTCCTCTGTGTAAAAGTCGAACATCAAACATTATTGCATACATTTAGGAGTTTTCAGAAACACTTATCCAGTGTTGTCGAACGTCAAAGTACTAAATCGGGAGAAACTAACGTTGAAAATCGGTAGACTACTGCGCAAAATCGGTAGATATGACACAAGGATAATACACACCACTAAGGATGGCTTATCGGCCTCGTTTTCGATAACCGCGAGCATATTGATGTATCACCATTGCCGACGTCATTAACTAAATCGTCAGCTGTTTGCGCCAGCGGTCCTAGTTTAAAATTTAAATTTATGATGAAAAATATAATTTAATTTTGATTAACATAATAGGCAAAAGAGGAAGATGCAAACGAGATCTTAACAGGAGTTGTTAATGTTAATTATTAATGTATAGTAAGACCAAGTATGCATAAAGCAAAAGACCGCGGAATCATAACCTGTGATGTAAACAGGCTACGTCAACTGTCAAGGCGAGAAACGACATGCTGCCACGTCACAACTGGTGATTTAGCGTAGTGGGGGGCTTCAGATTTGTTCTACTCAGGTCAGGTGTAATGAGGATAGGCTATCCTGTAGTAGTAGTAGTGTGTATTATCCTTGGGTATAACCAGGTGGGTATAACATAAAGACTAAAATCCAGCCATGTTTTGCTTTCAGTTTTCTATTTCGTTGTTGAGTATGTAAAAGCCCAGTGATTGTTTCCGTGGAAGTGGAAAGTCTATTTATTTGTGCTGTTTTCATTCGATTTATTGCTGAGAATGTGCGCTCAACATTGGCGGAAGAATGGGGCAATGACAAGATATTAAAAACAAAATCACAGGACCCACGGGTATTCCCCCAAAGAAATGCACTGATACCACCATTGCTAACAAATTTGTTGTCGGAGGATCTATTTGACATCTGACAGTTCTGACACAGACAAACAATTCGATAGTAGACCGTGTGCGGTTATCGATAGAAAAATCAGCGAAAACAAAACCGATAAATTGATATTTTTGGCGAAAAACGGTAAAAAAAATCGATAGAATCGTAATTATTGTCGAAAATCGGTAAAAATTCATCAGTATTCGGTATTTCGGTAGGTCCGTTGTCATTTCGGTAGAAATACCGAAATTTCGGTAGCTTCGACAACACTGCTTATCCTCGCGTGCGTATGATATTATCCTCGCACTTACTCGATTTCAGGCCTATTCAATCTACTCTTCAATTTCCTAGAAAAACCTCAACGCATGTTGTGTATTAGAGGTAGGGCATGATCATTTGAAAGATTGGGCATTGCCCCCCAATGCCCCCCCCCCCCCCTGGCTATGGCCCTGTCCTTCCCCCCCCCCCCCCAAAAGAATTATGCGCCCCTTATATGTTTGCCCCCTCCGCCCCGCAAGGCTGGCTACGCCACTGCGAAGTAATTTATAGGTACATGATAATCAAGATGTATTTGTTATATACTACGCTCTGACTCAGCGAACGGTCCGGCTACATCTATCGCTATTCTTCCAAATGGAAGACCCACGATGTACTGGTTCATAGGCCCCCGAGATCTTAGTTTAGGGCCTTCACTGGTAGCACAGATGTCGCATTTTCGACACCAGTTTTTCACGTCTTCATGATAGTGAACCTAGTAAAAACGTTCCCGAATTTTGTCCAAAGTCTTGTTAACTCCAAAATGTGCCCCTAAAGTTCCGTCCAGTGTTGCCAGATCTCACGATTATTCGTAAGATTACACGATTTTGGTCAGAATTTCACGATCTCACGAATGAGCTAGCAATTCTCACGAATTCTCTCTGTAGTAAATCAAATCACTAATCAAATATAATGTAATCGAGAATAATCGAAATAAAAATCTACTATACAATATTTAGTTATGTTACGCTGCTCCTGGTACATGCTCGCCTGATCGTAATATAGAAATACTTATTGAGCTGAAAGTGTTTGCCAGGTCCACGAGACCCCACTATCTGTGACGTCAGCTGTAGACCTCAACTCTTGGAAGAAAATGCATTATCCGAGTCCAAAAAACGTATTCATAAACTTGAAATCACTTTTTCTAAATTTAAAATTCCCAAAAAAATCATTTCAAAAGCACAGCCTGAATCGCAAACAATCTATCGAGGTCTGCGGATGACGTCACCACTATCAGTTGCTGATAGTGGTGACGTCATTCGCAGACCAGCTGCCGCCTCGAGAATCGACGACTTATTAAGATGAGCAATCCTACGGATAGCGGATAGTGAAAACGAGGTTCAGCATTCAGAAACACCTGCTAAAAAACGGAAAAACAAGGATACAAGATTTAATAATAAAATGTTTATTTCTTATGGATGTAAAATCATGTTTACTTTGTCAAAAATCTATGAATAAACATTGTTGTGTTTCGTTTTCTTACAATATTAGGCAATTTTTAGTCTCACGATTTCTCACGATTTTTCTTTCTCGATTCTCACGATTTTTTTTAATTCATCTGGCAACACTGGTTCCGTCATGTATTTCTTTCAATACCCCAGCGTCATCTGCTACTCGATCTTTTGGAATAACTAAATAGTTGGCTCTTCGTAGTTTTGCCAGCGGTACTTTTTAAAATTCTTTTCAGTAATCCATTTGTCTACGGCCAGAGAGTTCCACTTTTCACTGAGCCCACAATGCTTTGTGAATTAAACTCTTGCTCGACACTTCACTCCATTCTAGCCTACATTCACCATTTTCTTTATGATGAAGAATTTTCCCGATGTCCTGGTTTGCTTCTTTATCTTCTCTCATTTGTTCGGTAGTCCATTTATCCATCATCGACGATAAGACCCGTTCTTCTCACAGCTGGAGCAGTGTTTTCTCGTGCATGGTCAGGTTCATCAGGACGTAGCGCTACAGTAGCGATCATCAACAATGTTGCCAGTTTATTACAAATGTAGCAAATCTATTACATTTATCAAAGGTTAATATGGCAATCCAACCACCTGTCAAAAACAAATTCAAAATGCAGGTCAATACCTTTTTATTTTTAAAAAATGCCGTTTTATTGCGATTTTTGATTTGTATAAAATCTGTAAAGTATTAATTTTTTGGAAAATGCATACTTTATGTATAGTACTTAGTTGTGAAAGCCGTTCTAATCGCGAGAAAGTCTCGTTTCATGCCGTTCCTGCAGAGACAAAATACAGGTTTTTAACGGAGAAATATGATTTGTCTGTACCTACTTTGTAAGGCCTTCATGGATTGTAGCAAAAAAGAAAAAAACTGATGAAATCCATATTTAAAAACCAAAAAGTCTCTCTACATAAACGGTGTATGGATCCAAGCCATGTACTAGGTATCCTCCACAACTTGTGTCGATACCTTGAATAGCAAACCAATAAAATAAAATATACATCAGGATTCAGGATTTTGTTAAGAAAAAACTAAACAGGAAACAAATCCTGGATAGTACTTACCTAATTGTTTAGTAGGTAAAGGTTTGTCACAAAGAAATCATAACTTTTGTTAACATCCGGGTTTTCCACTAATAATTTCTCAAACTAAAAACTCTCCATCTTAAAATACGAAAATTATCCTTCCAAGCGCTAGAAAATCATCTAAAAACACCACAAAATACACAAAAAACTTTTTTTTTGATGAAAAATCTCACGGTTGTTTGAATTAAATCCATGGCGCCAATTTTTTGGCATTGGCCGCCATTTTGTTTGGATTGCCCTATTATTTACATTATTACATTTCCAATAAATCTATATATTTTCACTTATTTAACCAAAAATTATTAAAATTAATGAGTTCCGCTTGAAACACTGAGCGCTCGGACCATTTTCCATATTTTTTTCCTTTTGGTGAGCAGAACAGGGATAAAATTTGCTACAATTGTAATAATTTGGCAACACTGCTGATGATCGCTATTGTAGCGCTACGTCCTGATGAACCCGACCATATGTTTCCAGGTCGATATTTAAGACTGGCGTCTCTAGACCTTCAAAAGCATTGGAAACGATCCCTAGATGGAGAGGACATCCTTAGCCTACAATCCCATTGCACGTGTCCAAGC